TGGGCTGGCGATGGAGGCTGCTGGGCTTGGGCTGGTGATGGAGGCTGCTGGGCTTGGGCTGGGAGTGATGACTGCTCCAGATGCTGGGTACTGCGCTTTACTTGCCGCTGATATCGCGCTCCATCTGTTTCTTTAACATTATTGTGGCCTAACCGCAAGGATGGTGTCCAGTCAGGGTGATTCTCCAACATCTCAAATGATGGTTTACCTAGAACAGAATAATGTATGTAGTCAATGCTTTAAACTGGCAACAAGGTAGCATAATGTCATGAACAGAATCTCAACTATTTTTAGCAATCTCATAATCTCATATAATGGTTTACTTACATCAGATTAATAAAATTATTAAACAATCTGGAATCTAAAGAAATATTAAACAAGAAGGTAACGCTATTCATGGTTTCATAAAAGGGCTCAGGGGGTAGTGGAAACACAAGACAAAAAAAAAGTTTGGGCACCACTGGTTTAGAGAACATAAGAGACAGAGACAAACGCACTTTGAGTGCCCATATTCCACCAACAAGGTAGGATAATGAGCAGAAACTTAAATATTCTTAGTTAACATTAATGGTTGGCCATTAAGCATTTTCATAGAGGCAACAGTTTGTTAGATAGTTAGCTAGGCAGCTAACTTAAGATGCACTTCAGTGTTTGCAACATTAACAGCTAGGTAACCTACACTTCTTAACTTTAAAAAAACAACATAAAGACATTTTAGGACGTACCCGAGTGAAAATGCAGAGAACACACTCTCATCGACTGGGGGTGAGATCGAAAGTAAGGTCCTTTCTTCTTATTGCAGCCAACCAAGCCATCCGGCGTCTCTTCGTCAGGTCAGACACCTGCGCTCCCTGATGTTGTATCCATTTTGGTGGCCTAAAAAATTGTAAACCGTTGTTCCTACGTTTTCCTTTCTTATTGTGTGAGGTACTGGAGCAGTTTTTCACACAGCAATGAGCTCCAGGCATGGTAAAACAGAAATAGCGACGACCTCCTTTGCTACCGAGTTAACAACAAGTGTTTGCCGCTGGGATCCTACCAACATGGCGGAGACGGGGAGGGGCTCTGTGCTATGACGTCAGCTCCTCACTCTCAATAGATTCATGCACTGGCAATTCAAAATACAGATAATATACAAAATATACTTAACAAAATCCACGTATACGTGAGAAAACAACTTACTTTCTGTCTCCAACTCTTTTCAATGTGGAAATGATACATCTATATCTAAAAACTGTGCAGACTGTGTACTTACTAGAGAGGGTGATTCCAAGTAAATAAAGCAGGGCAGCGACAGAGGTACAGATTCAACGTCATATCAACGTCTGGGAAGGCATTGCTTTACGTCCAGATTCACACCTTACGTCGTTTAGACGTGGAAAACAGGTCCTCGACCGAGCGACTCACGTGTCAGGCTGTAAAGCGCATAAGTGTGCGTCGGTTGTTTAGGGTGTTATGTATTATTTTGTCACAGTAGTCTGGATAAATGCCTGGCCGTGGTGTAGCGGTTGCGTAATGAGACTTCAGTCCCAACGACGCAGGTTCAAATCCCCGTCGGAAAACTTTTGACTTTTTACTTTTTAGCGAACAATTTTTCTGTTTGGTTAAAAACGAATAAACACTCAACATAAGATTATGTAGTGGCTAATAATAAAACTTGTGAACCCATGCATTTGCATACAATCTCAAGTGCTCACCCCTTATTTGCAAACTTGAGATTGTTAGCACAACAAATGCATACATTCACAAGTTTTATTATTAGCCACTACGTAATCCTATGTTGAGTGTTTATTAGTCTTTAACCAAACAGAAAAAAATTGTTCGTTAAAAATCAAAACAAATATGTAAAGATAATATTACACACGTGGGCTCGAACTCACGTAACCAAGGCTGCACACATTTGCTTAACCACTACACTACCATCAGGTACACTTGCATTGCTTCACAGCCTATATATTGTATTGCTAGATCAAGACGTACTGCGTCGGTCAGCCGATGACCTGTTTTCGACGTCGGGATTGAACGTCATATCCACGTATATGGGAGGTCATTGTTTTACGTCCAGATGCGCACCTTGCACAGACGTCGTTTGGACGTAAATAAAAGGTCACGACCGACCGACGCGATATTGACGTGATCTGGAGGTTGAGTGGACGTCGGATGTTTAGTGGGTAGGGTTTGCATATTCTACTTGTGTCTGCCTACACTGCCAAAAAATGGTAAAATATGAGGAAAATATTGCTATAATCGAGTTTCTTTTTTTTCTTCTACAAATACATTCTGACTGTATAAAAAGACGATATAGTCTTAGTATTATTTCAAGAACTGTTGCTTTATTTTCTCATTCCAAGGGAGACATTTCCTGCATCTTTTTAAAACAAGATCATTCTGCTTGTCCCATTGGCAAATTGTCTTTTGAGCAGTGACGTGCGGTCATGGAAAGAAAAAAGAATAAAATAGAAACGAAACACTTGGTCACCATATCAAATATTTTGTACTATTTCATCATTTCAATGTAACTTTTACCCTGAAATCTCGTCATGTGTGTCTCATATATGTCAGAGCGTTGCTGTGAGGCGAGTCTGTCGTTGGAGACGTAAAAGCTACAGCTCACTGTGGGAGAAGCCCGTGTGGTGCTATCAAACTGTTTTTTTTTTTGTTTTCTTTCACAGTTTAAAAGGTTCAAACATATTTTCCTTTCTTGTTCGTCCTCTGCTAATGGCAGCTACAGGTTTGGCAAACAAACATATAACACAATTTAAGATGATTTAAAAGCAACTTAAATTAATTTTATGCTTCCAATGATGATAGGAATGACAAGGAAGAGAGGTGAAGGGTAAGAAGGTTGATTTTGACAATCTGATGCAGTAATATCAGTAATATTGGGAGACACCCGTTTTGTTTTACTTTTTAAAACTCATCGGACTTTTTTAAAAACGGAGGATTACATCAGCACTCAAACTATCATGTGGACTTAAACATGAAACTGGTCTGAACTGAAGTTGTAAATGGAGTATATGTAAAGTTGAACCTTAAGGTAAGGCCAATAACACCCTTTTAAAATGTCTTTTTACATACTTTGTATGTGCAAAAAATTCGGACATGAAACATATTCTGCTGTTTCCAAACAATGTGAAAAAGCCACTCTGTAGGTCCTTTTGATTTATATGATATATATGTTCATCTGATTGGGATGAAGTCAGTGCCTTACCAATCACCAGTTACTGCTTTTCATTTTGATACTTTGCCAAATTTGAGAAACGTTTGACTCAGTTTTCATCACTTTTTGCAATGTCGGTTTCCTCCGTGTGCTTTGTTTTCACCTACCACTAAAACATGGACAATAGGTGAAGCCTGCCACACTACTCCCTTCACTGTGAGGAGAGAGAGGACAAATGCCCAGAGAACTGTAAAGTGCTTTGTGACTCTGTGAAAGGCGCTATCTAAATAAAGATGACTTACATGATTGAAGGTTTACAGAACAGCTCATAGACAGTAAAAAACAGTGGGTCAAATCATCACAGAATGTTGATCTGTTGCTTTTGAATGGATTACTTTCAAATATTCCCACACATTTGGTTTGAGGACATTTCAGATTGCTTCATTCTGCCAAATTTGAATGAGTGGATATTTGATTAGGTCAATTTTGGCTTCATTTTCCAACATCATGCGTCGGTGCTTTATTATTGACAATTTCACAACATCTGTCTTAACTTAGCGACATTTCAATGTTCTCTCTCAAACTCTGGAATGGACAGTTATTTCCAACAAAGTGGATTTTTTTATGTCAAGCCAGACTGAGAAGCACGACTACTTAGATCATAATTTACTTAGATCATTTCACTGTGTTTCATCATAAAGTATAAATGGTCGTCTCCCGAGATCCTCCTGGCTACTCATGCAGATAAAGAGATTGGTTGGGAGGCTTAAGCCGTTTTTAATTTGGGAATGCTATTTTTGGTGCCCATTAGCAGGAGCAGAGCAAAAGGTGAAAAGGGCCACAGGTCACGGCGCAGGGACAGTGGAGCGTGACCATGTTTGCAGATGTTCTATTGACGCTGAGCCGGTGAAGCTCCCGCAGTCGTCCTCATGTGTGAATTCAAGAATGGCGCTAACACAACGGCTGGAGACAATTCCATCTTTAATGTTATTTTGAAAAAGTAAAAATTAAAATGTTTTGCAGCAGCATAGACACCCACAATCCACTCTGTCTACCGTCTACGGTGGAGCTAAAGGTTTTAGCGCTTCTTTTGTTCATCACATGGAATAAGCACCTGTGGACATAAATGCATCTCTTTCACACATGAACAGACAGCTTGTGAAGTCTCGTGAAAAGAACAGCATCCATGCACACAGTGTATACAAATTTAATAAAATCACAACAGTTACAGTAGCCCACATTCACGTGTAAGCTCAGCTTATTTTCACAGAAATCGCGGGAGGAGGACAACAATAAAATACAAATACATTCTTAAAAAACGTTGTAAGAAACTCAACATGTTTATGAAAAGGGACATTCCCTGTTGCACCACCGTTAAACAGTTCATAAGACACTTCACTTTTTTATGGAACGTCACTGATATGTATCGGATTGGTCATGAGACTGGAGAGATGGACCTTATACACTAAATGTTGACAGAAAGCTTCACTGTACAAAAGCAGACAGGACTCAATAGCGTAACAGTAGCAATTTGTTCAACAGCCTCACAAAGTTGGAGCTTGAAATGTGCAAAATACAGACATCTAAATCGACAGGTACAGTACACCATGGAAACACACTTGAAGCCCGGTTTAAACACAGTTTTTTCTCCCCTCCCCCACTGTCACAGCAGTCAAGGACACGGTTCACCGCAACACGACAAGTCACAGTGGAAAGAAAACAGACAAAGCTGATGGTTTTTGGTTATACAATGCGTGTCTGGACAAAAGAAAGAAAACACTTCTTGGTCGTTGATGTGTGGTCATAACTTCACACAGGTGGCAGCGCTGTACGTGATTGGTCAGTTCCCGGAGTCCCGTGGGTCCAGAGGGCACTCCTGGCTGATGACAGGGCTGTGAATCAGATTACTGGACAGAGACTTGGGCCTGAGCTCGGAGGTGACGTAAGCCGGCTCCTCCAGAACCGTGTGCAGAGGAGAGCACTGGCCGTCCGGAGGGCCGTAGGCACTGCTGTCAGAGCCGCCCCCGCGCTCCTCTTTGGACTCGCGCTTGGCCTCATGGTCCCGGGAAGAGGGCTCAGTCTTAGTGGGACTCGTACTGGACTGGCTCTCTTGCAGCGGTGGGCTCAGAGCGCGCTGCGATTTGAAGTATGGTTTGACATTGGCCACTTGGATTGTACTGTCCCGCTGCTCCTTCCCAAACGTGCTGAGGGTTTTTCTGCCGCCGCTCCCGCTGCCGCAGCTGATGGTGCCATAAATCTCTGTCTCTACCATGGCATCCATTCCCACAGGGATGAAAAGGTTGGTGCGATTATCGCCGCTGTCTGCTTGGCTTCCTACCCGTAACTTTGGCATCCAGCATCTGTCAGAATGTCCCAGTGCGCGACATTCATCCGTGCAGTGGACTGATTTGTCTTGCTCTGCGAAAAAACACAAAATGACAGTTGTTAATGGCCTGGACTATGGCGATGCAAAAACACAATGCAAAAATGTAAATCATATTTAAGTAATAAAACAAACAAACAAATTCTGGCCCAAGTCTTCAAATCCGAATGATTCTATTCCCCTCTGATCGGAGAGAATTATTATGCATCCTCACAATCCTTCAGAATAAAATATGACCCAAACGCCGTTCCAACAAGCAGAGAGTACATTTAAAGTTGTTGTTTTGGTTCCTTGAGAGTACGTCTGTGCCATCCACGTGGTGTAACCTCCACATCCCCACGCAGCTATGCCAACAATAAAACATATGCATATAAGTTCCTCATTCTCTGCTTTTGTTAAATGTGTGGTCACTGCATCACAACACAGCTTTAACCTATTCATAAAACCTCGCTTTCCCCTCTGCTATTCTCAACAACCTGTGTAGGTGTTTTTCAGCAAAATATCATCTGGTGCAGAGGAAGCAGAAGTGTTTTGCATTTGTAGCTGTGGCAGCGAGCAGCAGTTTGTGTGGAATAAACAGCAAAACAAGTGAGATGTTCACGCTTTTTTGATTAGAGTGCTGAGATATAAGCCAGTTAGACTCCACACAATATGGTACATCTTCCTCTCCCCGTGCCAATTAAAATGGGAGAAACACACACTTACAGCGCTTAAAAACAGGTAGTTAATGCATTATGTAGGAGAGATTAAGACAGATTTACAGCGTTCTGAAAAAGGGTGTTCCTGACCGTTGAAAGGAGCCTGCCCTTGCCACCGGAGGACCTTGTTTGCAGAGGCGGCGAGCGTGTCTCACTGGTTACTCTGTGGTTGGTGAAGGCGCCACAGCACAAGGAGCACATGGAGCCGTATATGGCACTAATAAAGCCATGGACAGAGACAGGAGTGCTCCCCTCATTACAGTGTGATGGATGTATGATGACTCACTGATGCACACTGTACAGCTGCTGTGGACTGGAGCTGAATGACAGCGGCAGAATATCAGAATATCAGAAAATCAAGAGCGGCAGAGAGCCCGCTCACATGAGTCCAGAGCAGCAGAGACACACTGGGCTTACAGCGGTGAAGGACGCGTGGTCAAGGGGGGGGGGGGGGGGGGGGGGGGGGGGGGCAGCTTATGGACTAAAGAAGCACTGCCGGCTGCTTTTGCTGTGTTCAAAAACATTTCCCAGTGGTTTTATTTGCAGCCTTCTTGGATGAAGCAGGTGTGAGTGTGGGTCATCCTTTTGTGCATTACTGGTAACTCTTTATTACAATAAAACCTTTGTAAAAAAAAGAGTTGGTAATAAGAAAGAAGTTCACAATTGGTGCAACTAAATGCTCACTAAATATTGAAGCATTTCCAGCTAGCTAAGAAACATAACAGCTTCTCACATTGTATCTATTATATATTGTGTGCTCCCTGTGTGCTCCTGCTGCTGTCCTATATGTGCGCTGCAACAATGAAATGTCCCCACTGCGGGACGAACAAATTATCTCTTATCTTATGGTATGTACAGAGGATACATCACTTTTTTATCTTTTGGGTATATTCACTTACAAAAGAACCTTGGACTTTAGTTGTGCATGCAGTTGCGTTTTTAAACATGTTACATTTTGTAAATGTATAAAGGTGAAAAATAGAATAGCATCTATTCACTTATAATGTGAAACTACTATAACATGGACTGACTACATGCAGAGTGAAACGTGTCAAGCCTTTAATTGGTATAATTTTGATAATTGGCTCACATGTTGTATGTAAAATCTCAAAAAAATAGTTTTTTCAATTAACAATTATGAATTAATTAGAATCATTAGAAAATGTCCTCCTGTGGACTCACCACCTGCAGAGGGTCAGTGAGGGGCTGGTGCTATGAGACTTGGGTGGCATCTCTGATTGCCACCCCCCTGACCCAGAAATGGATTAAAGGGTAGAAAATGGATGGATGGATGGCATTAGAAAATGTAGAAAATGTATGTAAGCCATAATCAGAACACGTATCTATCTAATAAGTCTAACATTTCATACATTGGTTTCACATTTAAGTGACAGTCACAGAATAATCATAGAAATATACTGTAGCGTGGTGTTTTTACTCTTGTTTTCTTACAGTTCTTTGAATTGGCCCGTGTTCAAAGTAGTGCAATTCTTGCCTTTTTAGACTGTAATAGTTTTTTTTTTTCTTTTCGCCACTCATTACTTTTGAACAATATTAAAAGTGTCATCTGATTAATAACAAACAAATCCAAATTGTTTTAATCCGTCCCTGCAGATTTACAGAGTAAAACGTATTCCACGTGATCAGAGCATCGACCCCTGACTGGACCTGATCAATCGTTTTGATGCAGGTCTTCAGCATCATGGAATTCAGTTTATTCTACTAATATCCAACACACCCCAGTTCTTTAAAAATCCTACTCTGTGGCGTTCTCTCGACTTTTCTCAAAATGAAAACTAAGAGTAAAGTCTCTGGTGGGAGCGGTATAACAGAGACGCCTATGGTAGTTCTTTGTGACGGATTCAAAGGTTTAATGACATCAGTGTTAGAGAGAACTCTGTGCAGACGTGTGTAATGGAGTCAAATAGAAAAATACTATGTTAAAATCTCATATCAAATTGAAGTACAACCACAATCTACGGAAAAAAAATCACTGCTCTTTTAGTCGAGTGAAAAACATAATAATCTTTTCACAAAATGCAGACGAAAGCGGTTTCAAAACATTTCAACTCATTTAAAATATCTTATCCACACTTTTATTTAAAGAATACATGTAGCGTGGTGTTGTTTTTACTCTCTTGTTTTCTTACAGTTCTTTGAATTGGCCCGTGTTCAAAATGGTGCAATTCTTGCCTTTTTAGAATGTAATAGTCCTTAAAATAATCTATTACATTACTGTTAAAAGTACAAGCTAGTCTTCCTTTCTGCTGCTGAGATGTTATTGAAAAACTAGTAAACAAAATGTGTTAGCAGGAACCACACTAAATTTTGCTTTTAAAATCCCCATTCGTTTTGTACAGAAGGCATGAGGTAGATCCAGTTTGGATTACACCAGATGGAATACATTCATCTGTTAACTAAGTCTTCTGAATGTTTGACCTGAGATCTATATTTGTTTTAACACTTATCACAGTGAATTTAAGGGTAGTATGAATCTTGTGTATTTTTATATTTGTTGATTTAAGCCAACAAGACCACATGCTGCTTTTCCATCTCTGTATTTCTACTTCTTATCCATCCTCTAGTGCAGTGGTCGGCAGATATTTTCTTCAGGGGCCACATTGGGATATTGCCTTTTTGTGGAAGGCTGGACCCAATTTCACATGGTTAATCTAATTTAGCAAAAATCTACTTCAGTATAAAATGCAAAAATATATATATATTACTGTTTTGTCTATTACTACTACTATTTTTATCAGCACTATTATTATTACTAAGAATATTTTGGATTCATTAATGAGTTCAAAATAAATATACAACATACCATGATAGCTCAAAATACAAGCCTTCATGAAGTATTTACTCCAATTTCACTTCAATAAGCAACAGGCCACATAGAAATGTGGATTGGGCCGGACGTGGCCCCCGGGCCGCACTTTTCCCAGGTCTGCTATTGCATACAGTTTTAGTCAAATTACAGAAATTGATGAACTTACCAAAGATAACTTAATTTACTGAGTTTCAGCTGTGCATTTGTCTCATCATTATTATTATTAAATGAGAGGCAGAAGTGCGTTCTTGTTGAGGCTCCTGTTTTTCAATTACGGTCACATCCTAAAACCTTTCATGGGCTTATGTGCAAATGGTCTTAACTGTAATTAGTACAAAAAACAAAACAAAAGGAAATATCTCCCAGTGCAATAGTACAGACCCTCCAACAACACAGAGATGTAGAGCTGTGATCGCCATCTGAGCACAGTGAGTGGTGTTCAGCCAATAGCTGCTCCTGTTACATTTTGCCAAGTATAAACCAGATTTGATACTCCCTTTGCACCTTGTTAGATGGAACAAAACACAGATATGCCCCCAAAACAAAAGTGGCCATAATGTTTGTCCTGAAGCCTGTAGTTATTCATAGCATTATAGAAACACAACACTTTTCTATTTGTTTGTCTGAATAAAGTGCGTTAAAAACACGGCTGACAAAGTAGCACTAACACGTAAGAGCACTCATGTCTAAACTGCTCCGTACAAATGATTCAAACATGACCAGCCACATTCCTCTTATCTGCACTTTCACCATTTCACCATCACTGTGTTGTGCTTCATTGTTAAGAAATGTGTTTTGTAAACGATGGAAATGTCATCAACGCCAACTTGTATTGTCCAAGAGGTAATGAGATTGCCGCCGTTAGTTTGTCTGTCTGTTTGTTTGTTTGATTTTTGCTTGTTTGTTTGTTATGGGAGGGAAAACCTTTTCAGGAAAGGTGTGCAATGGCCCAGTGAACAAGTGATTTTGTTTTGGAGGCCCTCCAAATCACCATCTGGATTTGGAACTGTGTCTCTCGGCACAGGTTCACACTCTATGAAGGCTATTATGGTACCAAATGTAAGACTTAAATTGGTCATTTGTCTTTGAGGTTGTATATACAGCTCAAACTAACGATTATTATGATATTCAATTAATCCTGTCATTATTCCTCCAACTCATGGATTAGTGGTTTAAAACACAGTTCTGTGATTTTTCTCTATACTTGATACAGAGGTTTAGGGCTTGAAGTGTTCTTCTAATGAGACAAAGAGGATTCTTCTTATTAGTTGAACACTTTAGGCCGTAAATATAAAGTAGACATAATTATATTTTTTGGACTAAAAAGTTGAAGGTTGAAGCTGCTGGAGGACAATCTAAGATAATATTTCCAGAACTATTTTATAATTAGAAATAGACAATTATGCATTTCTTGTATCAGTTTTTGTAATTACTGCCGTTTGAGTTTTAAAATCACATCCTACAGAACAACAACAACAACTTATTCTTGTAAGCTCTAAATCACGAC